GCACAAAAAAAAAAAAAAGCTCAATTACTTCATGATAACAACTGAATAAATATACCTTAGGTGTATACAGATTGCAATGTTGGGATTAAAAGTAAAAAGTCATCACAAAAATAAATACTGAAGTAAAGTACAGATACCTGGGAAATCGACTTAAGTACAGTTAAAAATTTTCAACAAATCGGTGAATTTGTGAATAGCTGTGGGTTCATTGTACGCCATTTATAGTCATCCCCAAAAGAATAACATGGCCGTTGCCAATAAGGTGCCCAACTTTATGCACGCTCTGTATACTCTAAATGTCGGATGACGCCCAGGTGCTAAAATGGCGTCTCCTCCTTCTTCTTCCAATTCCCGTTGGCGAGATGTGAGAAAAAGATGGCGAAGTGAGGAGGAGGAGGAGGATGGGATGGAGGAAGTGGACTGAATGTAAAATGCAGTGAGGTGACAGTGACCAGGCAGCAGCTCTCTGGAATCGAACATGCAAATGTGAAGTGGCGAAGCGCTCGGTCGCCGGCGCCGGCTCCCACGCTCGGGGGAAATTTTTGGACCGTTGGGGGATGGCTCGGTGGGGGGGAGCCGATGGCAATGCGGGGGGCTAACATGATGATGATGATGATGAAGGCGAGGAGATGCCGCTAGCCAGGAGAGAGATTTTGACAAAGAGAAAAGATGATGTCATAGCTTCGCCGCATCCAGCTGAAAGTAGGGCAGTCGGAGATGGTGGGGGCGAGGAGGGAGGGGAGGAGGGGCTGACCTACATGCAGCTGTGCAACTTTGAGGGTGGGAGGGGGCGATGCGGGAGGGGACGCGGGGTGGATGGAGGAATGATACCCTCATCGAGAGTCGGAAGAAGAGGAGGAAGGGGAATGGGGAGAGGAAGATGGGGCGGAGGGGGGGGGGGAATAAGTAAAGCAGCATGAAAGTAGATAGTGGGAGGCGAAGAGAAGTGAGTTGGAAGTCAGTGGGAATTAAGAAGGAAGAAAGACAACTCCACCCTTCTCATTTGATAACAACAGTTTGGCAGCCCAATTCTTCAATATAAAAGCTTCCAGCGGTTGGGCCCTCCCAGTGGAAGTTTACGGTCAAACCATACATTAAAAAAAAAACAAACATGGTATGTATTTTAAACAACCAAACAAATTTGCCTCAGGAATGCCCCCTGCTAGCTTAACACGTACGGTAATTGAAAAAGCCATTGACTGGGCTAACGGACAGCATTGATTGGTGATGGTGTTGGTTTCAGCAACACTCGACTGAAATGAACTCAACACAACTTTATTTAAAGATCACTTTAAAAACATGCTCAGCTGCATACAAAGTGGTGTATGTAAAGTAAATAACACGCATCAAATCAATGGCCGTTAAAACAATAAATTAACATAAAAACAGCAAACACAATGAAAACAATAAAACAATACCGATTCAAAGCCGAATCGAAAGCCAAAGAATAAAAAATGTGGTTTGACGCGAGTTGTAACAATTTAAAGAAACATAAAGGTGGTGCAACACATGTAGACAGAAAACATCACAGTACTCAACAGGCATATACTCTCACTCATTTTGTCTTTGTGACTGTATTTTACTGTCCCCAGTGGCCAAGATGAGCATAGCAGAAGGAACGGCGCAACACATTTTTAATTTATGCATTAAATCATAATGCAAAAAGTTTTTACATTTTCTTTCATCATTTTTTATTGCTGTGTTTTTACTTGTATCTACTACAATGTTATAGAGTTCTATTTTTCTGATTAAAAAAAACAAAAAAAACAACTTTTTTTCATGGAAATAGTGGTATTTATTTCAGTGGTGGAAGATGAATTGAGATATAAGTGTTCTGACGACTTGGTACGACTTTGTTTTGCTGCACTAGTGCAGTGATTCTCAATGCGTGATGCTTTGGCTCATTCCAGTTTAGTTGTATTTGACTTTTTAGTCGCGTTAACCACTGTTACTTTATCGTGTTAATGTTCAAAGTTTACATCATGTTGCCGTGACGTGCAACAATATTATTTTCAGGAACATTTAGACCTACGACACTACTGCATTTTGATACTGGTCACTTGTAGCGCTAGTTTTTTTAGCTGCTACTTGGTGAACGAGTGGTTCTTTGAATGTTGATGTTTTGCATCACAGATGAAAAGTTTGCTTCTTCTTTCTTGCTCTCTTTCCTTCCTCTTTTCTTCTTCATCTTCTTCTTCCTGGTTGGTGTGTGTGTCGCCCTTGCAGTAAGTACCGGCCCACGTCGGAGGCTCACAATGATAATTTCTCGCTGTCCACCATCGCTGAGGGCTCCCACCCAAACGTAAGGAAACTGTGCGACACCCCTCCTAACGCCCCCCATGCCCGTGCATTGGCTTACTATGATAACATTATCTGTCAGGTAACGTGCCCCCGCCGCTCTCTTCTTCCCTTTTTCTGCATCTGACTCCTCCCCTTTCCCTACCCCTCCCCACCCCGACGCATGGGCATGAGTACCCCGAAGTAGAGAGACTCAGTCTGAGGCCAGCGGGGAGGCGGGAGAGGGTAGTGATGGATGGCAGGGATGTGGGGGGGTCGGGGAGGTTTGCCCAGGAGGATGGCGCCTGACTGTTGAATGAAGAAAGCGGATCATATACAAAGCTGTTCATGTACATTATCTCACAAAAGTGTGACCATCCCGCTCCTTTTTGTAAATATTGTATTACATCTTTTATTAAAACTGAATAAATGACACATTTTTAAAGTAGTCAGTGCGCAGCGTGTACAACTGTCCAGTTAAAATAACCCGACACGCGGCCTTTTGCACCTCCATTTTTCATTCAAGGGCACCAAGTAAACCTTGAGTTCATCTATTCCTCCCAATATGTCTGTGAGCAAGCCATTCAAAATTTTGACACATTGTGACATCACAGTGGGGCTAATTTACATAATCCTGCCTCCATACCGCGTTTCTTAGCCAATGACAAGATCATTTTCCCTCGACAAAGTTCCAGAGAGAAAGATTCAGTTGGGCTCAAAGCACGGTCAGGTCAAAGCGAAGAAGAGCGGGAGAAGAAAGGGAAGAAGAGCGACAGTGTTAGCGCATATTAGCGTCTGACAGTTTTACCAGCATTACTTCTGAAAGTAATGTTTGGCCATGTCACGCATCGCACATAAATTAATTGACAAATGTAATTTGTTGATTTAGTGATGAAATTTCATAAATGTCAGCCCCCCCAAAAAAATGGATCATATGTATCGTTAAAAACGTAGCATCACAAAAAAAGTATGTCACAGTCAAGCCCCGCCTTCTTTCCCTCAATCCTTCACTCCTCGCTGCCACATCCATCTTTCTCTCCAACCTGTGGTCTCTGTTTGCCTCTCTGCTCGGTAAGTCAAGGCTCGACATGCGCCACCTGGTGGCCATGCCCGCCACTGCAGCTCTGCTTCGTTAACAAACTGTCTTGTTTATCCTGATAGTGGGCGTTACAAGGGGCGGGGCCGGGTGACATCATCCAGTATGGACCTATCAGGATAAACATCTGAGATGCAAGCCCACTCTGAGATTCCACTAACACTAGCATGGTTAGCCGTTAGCATACATTAGCTTAGCATGATGCACCTGCAGGATGGCGTCAGGAAAAAAAAAGTCATGCTAATATATTCTCATGTTCTGTTTGGAATGTTTTTTACGCCATTCAGCGAGCTCAGTTGGTAGCCGCATGGGTTAGCTTAGCTTTGCGCTACAACTATTTGGTGTGGGGTTTTTTTTTTTTGGTCTGCATTTTGGTAGAAGTGGTACCACCTCTAACAGCCCATCACTCTTTAGCTCATTGCTAACTTTTCAAAGCAAACTCAACAAAGAACATTTTCCCAACTTTGCTTTCACATGTGAAAACAACACTTGCAGGGTTAAATGCTACTATAGTATTAGTTTAACATAATTGGATGATAGGTTATGCCAAACAAAAAAAAAACATGTCATGCTAGCATGGTCTCATGTTCTCTTTGGAATGTTTTGAAGGGTCAGAGGGTGTGGTGAGTGGCGAGTGGATTGGGGGCGGGGGGCAGATGTGGCAAATCACAGTCCAGAAAGTAAAAACCCTGCCATGTTTTGTCTTTAGCCACAGATATTTCTACTCAATCAGTGGTTAAACCATCTGCCTGATATGAAGCCAAACTGTGTCAGGGTTTTTTTCTTTCTGGACTTGGATTTGCCATCTCTGGCGGTTGGTAGCCACAAGGGTTAGGTTAGCTAAACACTACTTTTTGGCCTGTTTTTTTTGAGTGGTATAAGTGCTACCACCCTGGAACACCCCATTACTACATTTGTTCCTGCTAACACTCCAAGCAAATAACTTTTTCACAACTCTCACCCACAAAGACTGGGAAAAAAATATATATCTTTATCACATCTCCCTTAAAGTCTTTTTACCTCACAACATTTCCAAAAAAAGTCTCACGACCGTCAAATAAAAGCTACACTTACTCCCCGAACCACTAAAAATATAACTGATTGAATGTGTTTCATTGCTAACAAACGTGTTCATTTTCCATTTAAAATAGCTTATGTTAATGTCCTTAGCATTTAAAAATGAAAACAGAGGCCATCTTGTTGTGCTGTAGCTAATTCACCTGACAAGTATCACACGGACGTTGCGTTTGTGTAATTTGTAAAAACAAACCAATGTATTTCTGTCAATAGCATCAGATGCTGAAACGCGAGCCGTGTATACAATAAATATGATCGCAACTAAAACATGAGTGAGACGACGTGAAATGTGCATGAGTAGGGAGTAAGAGAAAAGTAAGCGCAGTCTAAAAATAACCCGGACGTGAAATGGCGCCTACTTGCCGTAGCGGCGACTAAATTCATCAGCAGCCATCTTGTGTTGCCACTTTTATGTGTACCTAACATAATTCTAGACTGATTTTGCTTTGGTGTACGCATCATTTAGTCAGAATGAAATGAAATGGAATAAATGAAACAATAATAATGAAGTCCATCACAGAAAAAAAATCAGCAAATTAATTTTATTTGAACATTAATAATACGAGACTGTCACTGTGAAACATAAAGCTAACATCTGTAAGGCACGATTGACGATACTGAGATAATATACTCTGAATGGTCGATGCAGCCAGTTAAGTTAGTCCTCTGCTAGGTTCCGATTACTCAATACAGGGATCATGGTAGAAAACACACACGAGCAACGTGTTTTTGGCGAAAACCAAACCGAAGTTGTCAGTAACAGTGGCAATGCAAGATGGCTGCCCTCTGACTTCAGCCGCGAGAGGCCACTGTGAGTCCAGGTTATTTTTAGATGTCCGTAGAAGTAAGCAAGAAATTAAAAGGACGTGAGTCAAGTTGGCAGGGAGAAAGACGTAAGCAGAAAGTAAAAAGAAAGTAAGCGTAAAGAAAACAAGATGGAGATCATCAGGAAGTGATCAGGAAATGAGAGGTAAGCAGGAAGTGACTTTTAAATAAATGTATTATTATTATTATTATTACTAGAAAGTATGGAGGAAATCAGAAAAAAAAGTGAGCATAAAGTGCAAACAGAGCTGAATTTTATTGGGAATTTTCCAGGAAACTACGAAAATATGCATAAACTTGAAAGAAAGTAAGCAGTAAGTGAGTAGAAAAAATTCAATAATTCAATAATTCTTGTTCAATAAAATAGTCAGCATCCATATCACATAAAGATCAAACTTGGTTCAAACGGGAGTGGGGGCGGGGGAGTCGTTGGTCTGCCCAGAGTGTGCGTGTGCCTTCATCATCATCACCATCAAAACGTTTTTTATCTGTTCCCCACCTCCCCTGCAAAAAAAAAAAAAAAAAAAAAAGAACGCTGGAAACTCCTCGTGATTCTGTGCCTCCCACCCTACCGCCAAACCCAGCTCCCCGCAACCGCCACGACCACCACCCACATGCACCGCCACCAAAGCCCAACAAGTCAAAACAAAAAACCCAAAACGTTTTCCAGTTTCACGCTGACGGGAGGAAAGAAGGCTCGTACCCCGTAACCATGGAAGTCACGTACCCGCACGTCCTGCCCGAAGTTACGATCTAGCCGGTAAATCCACTTTTTGTCACATGACACACACGTATCACTCACGTGAACAATTTTTTTCCCTTCAGTGTGTTTATTATGAGGATGTGTGTGTATGTGAGTGATGATGTGGGTCATGAAAGTGAATTAAAAAAAAATCAATAAATAAACAATCCTTCAAACATTCTGATGGTGGTACCCACAGAAGACCCCCATGGGCAACATAAGTGTTCACTTTGGGGGGGTCGGGGCATGAGTTAATATTTTGTAAGTGGTGAGTATTATTAGGGTTGTGGGATGGAAAACCTGTTGCATGTGGATGTGCATGTGCTTCCTGGTTTGTCAGAATGGGCTGAGGGAGGTTGATGGGTGGGGTAGGGTGGGTTGGGGCAAGTGTTGACTTGTTACGTACCGCTGGCTGCGTTACACATGTTACATGTATGACATGACATGAGACGCATTTCATTCTGACACGTCTCACATGATGTCACGCAATGTCACACTTGTTACATACCGGTGCATGGGTTGCACATGCATCAGACAATAACTCAATGACGATTGGGAGCATGACGGTGTCACAAGCGTTATATGACACGCATTTCATGACTTATACACGTTGCACATGTGTGTGACATGTGTAACATGATGTCATACACATTTCATGACCTTCAAGGGTTACAGGTTACATTGCTAATATGACAAAGGTTCCATGACGAAGTTACAAGCATTACATGATGCTACACACGTTACATGACTTGTTGTTACAGTATACACGAGCTTCACACGTGGGTTACCCACCCAATCCTGACCTCGACTGGGAAAAAAACTGGACAGGATCATAACAATTAGATGTGTTACGTGGGATAACGGGCCTTACAGTTTGGGTATTAAACACAAAGAATATAATTTAACGATTCTGACATCACGTCGATGTTACAAGTCACGTAATGACAAGAACATGAGAACGTTACGAACATTCCGCAGTGTTACACGTTATATGACTTAGAGGTGTGAGGTGACATTTCACGTTATATGATGTGTTACGTGACGGACCAGATCTTTCATGTAATACATGACATTACAAGCTTGATATGACGTTACACATGTTTCATGACTTCCACATGACTGTGACAGGATATTTGACGCCTTGCATGATTGAGGCGACCATATGTTACGATTGCACCGGGGGTCTCTGTGCTAATTCCACTTTCTACCTTCCCCACTTCATCCTTCTCCTCCTCATGTCAGGATGATCCCAATTCCCAGAATAAATTGGAGGAGCCGGTGAAGGCCCCGCCCAAGGAAGACGACGCCCTGAACATCCACAACGCGCTGACGCCCAAACATGACAACCACAAGTTGCTGGGCGACGACGACTCGGAGGTCAACTCCCTGCAGAACAACATGATGTGAAAAATACACTTTTTCACCAACACACCGACCGCTGTCCATCGACCCACTCGCGCCCGCCACGCCGCTCCCCACGGGTTCCTCGAGCAGCCGTGCCAACACTGCCGCCCAAACCCGTTCTCTTCCTGTTGCCCCTCCATCATCACTTCACTATCTTGTTGCTGTCACTTAACTGCCCCTTACCACATTCATCTCTGAAATAAAAACGGATCAATTAACATTCGCTAACATTAACTTCATTAGTGTAGCATTAGCACCTCTTTCTTCACTTCCTGTCTGCCTCGTTCTTTTGGCTCTAAGCGCCGAATCTTTTGTCTCCTGCTCCGTCGTCCTGACAACAATGCCTTTCCGTCTTTGAGGAGTGTAACCTTTGAACCCCCCCACCCCCCAGAAAACCATGAGCAGATACACGTGGGAGTGTAAGACCAAAGAGGAGTCCGACTGCGAGGTAAGACCATAAACCCCTCCGCCCCTGTTCCCCCTCGTCCCACCACGCTGTCAGTTAGCCCTGCCCCGCCACACCTTTCTAAACAGACCTGTCAATCAATCAATCAGTCACTAAATCAATCAATCGCCTCAACTGTCACTCCACCAATACATGTACACTGAAATACTTTAGTACACTATCATGACCAAATATGAGAAGAAGGAAATGTGAGTAGGAAATAAGCAGGTAGAGAGAAGTAATTAAAAGGAAGTTATCAGAAAATGAGCAGGAAGTAACACGGAAGTGAGCGTGAAGTGAGAGAGAAGCGAGAAGGAAATGATCTGGGAATGAACACGACGTGAAATGTGCATGAGTAGGGAGTAAGAGAAAAGTAAGCGCAGTCTAAAAATAACCCGGACGTGTAATGGCGCCTACTTGCCGTAGCGGCACACACACACACACACACACACACACACCTCCCTGCCTGCATCGTTGTATTTTGTAAAAAGATTCCAGAATTCCAGCGTGTGTAAACGTGGTCAAAAGAAAAAGCTACTGAGAGGTTTTGATGTTTGTTGACTAATCCAGTGAGTGTTTATAAATATTGCAAACAAATCAGATCGATGGATCGACTTCAAACACGACGTGTCTTGTTTTCTTTGATGTGATTTCTAATCCTTTGATGTACTTTTACTGTTTTTATTTTCTACTCTTTCAACCAACGAGAAACAACAAACGAGATTCCGACACTTGTTGAAATAAAACCTTTTTAACATGACCGTTGTCTGGCTGTCTGGTCTCCGCTCACACATACGCACGCGAGCCCTTTCATACTGTCGCACCAGAATGACATCAAATTATCTGAAGGGGGGAAGCCGCAACACTCGAATGACATCACATGAATTTTGCGAGCTACGCACACAACAATGCGTGACATCGCAGGTGTTACGTGGCATTACTGGGCTTGCATTCCATGAGCCATATGCATTACATGATGTAACACAATGATGTGCGATGTTACACGTGTTACACGGCACTACATGATGTTCTTCTTTTTAATTTATTCTGTTTGATCAGGTAAAGCAGTTGAGAATATCCCTTCTTTCCCTGGCATCGCCCGATGGCACGTCCGTTACATGTTATGTCTATTTTTTTACGTAAATTACACATTTTACTCACATGACCTGATGTTACGCGTCGTTTACGTGGTGTCACACAACAGTGTGACAGGGAATCCGTGAGTTACATGGCGGTACTTGTCAATCCAGGACGTTACACAAGTCGACACAAATTTGCTCATGTAAAACATTGTCGGCACATCAAAGAAAGGACAGCGTATCTGTGTTTTCAGTTTTGAAAATCGTCGACTGGATTCTGGATTCAGAAGAAAGAAAATGCCCGCGCACACACACACACACACACACACACACACACACACACACACACGCACACACACACACACACACACACACACACACACACACACACACACGATGTTGTTTCAAGACGTCCTGAGCTTCTTTCCCAACATATTTGCATATGAACACCCCGCGTCCCCCCCCCACACACACACACAGCATACAGAGCGAGCCATTCAGGTGGTTGCACGCTTACATTCATATGTGCACAAAGCATCTGACAGTTCACACGCTTTTAAACCATACAATAACACACACACACACACACACACACACACACACACAGACTGGCAATCTACTTCACATCATATTTAGTGCACTGGCGTGTCCACCTGCGTACACACCCGAGGCCGACGTTCCTTGTGCATGGTGTCTTGTGGACATGAGAGAATTGAAAGAGTTAAAACACGCTATTGTCGCTGCTGATTCCCAGGGTGCTGCTAGTGGGGGTTAGAGGGAGATGGTGGGCAGTTTTTTTTTTTGGGGGGGGGGGTCTGGTGACTGGCGGGCGAGGTTCCCTTGTGTCCCCTCAGATAAATAAAGAAGGGGGGGTCTAGATGGGGGTGCGTAAGTAACACTTTAGTCCAAAGAAGAAGAAAAGGCTTTTGTAGCGCGAAGGAAACAAACACAACAGTTAATCACACACACACACACACACACACACAAACACACACACTCACACACACACACACACACACAGTTGAGGATGTGAGTTGAAACAAGTGAAGCAAAGTAGTCCTGCTGCCATGGCAACAAGTGGGCATCACATGACCAACAGAGCACAACAGGCAGGGTGGGGGAGTGTCTGTCTGGGACACACGAATACCCCCCCCCCCCACACACACACACACACACACATGATATCACAGATTTTGAAGCAAACTTTTTTTTTCATGGATTTGAAGAGTATTCAGTTAAATGTAAACTGGACTTGTATGACTTGCAGGCAGCACTACTGGAAGGGAGTCACTGTCATTAACAGCAAAAAAGAGGTGAAAGTGTTCCCCTTCTAAACTCCCCACAGGGCAGTGAAAATATAAAGTATGCCTGTGAGTATTGTAGTATGCTAGATTTGTATGTGTTGGTGCTCCATGTGAGTTAAAAGTAACAGTTTTGGGAAGTTTTATAATTACCTTAACACCCATGCTCATTCACATTTGCTCATCTATGCTGTTTCACTTCTATGTTAGCATAGACCTCGCAGACTTTTGTTAGATTAAGTTATGTAGTTTGCTTGTCCTATATAAATTAATTATTTAAATATAAAATGTTTGATGCTCTTGTTTTGCAAATTCTGTTTGTATGTGTTGCTGCACCTTTTTTATTAGGATGAGCTACTTGAGATCCAAAATACTGAGATGTTGAGAAACTGAAATGATGAGACGATGAGACACTGACAAGATGAGATACTCATTAAAAATCCTAGGAACCGAGCACGGAAACTGAGTCAGCAATAATGACGCGCGCGTGTATGTGTGTATGTGTGTGTCGGGTTCGAAGTGCTTCTAGCTCTTGTTGTGCTATGATAAAGAGCATTTTGTGTGTGTGTGTGTGTGTGTGTGTGTGTGTGTGTGCGCGCGATTGCATATCGTGCACACGTACATACATGACTTATGAATCGATTTATGCCAGCCAACATGGTCCATGTGAGTGTGCGGGTGTGTGCACGATATGCAGTGAGAAGTGCACCCTGCACACCAGCGTGCATGACTTATGCATGCCTGCACAGTACATGTGTGTGTGCGTGCATGTGTGTATGTGGTCGCTAACCAATCACAATGCTTCCTCATGCATGCGGACAACATCATTCCACCACATTGTCAGCCAATCAGGAGCTGTCTAAATCCCGGTAGAACAAAGATGTAAAATAAACATTCTCAAAATGACATTCCAGTAGATGTCATCTTTTTTTAAGTCAATTTAGCTTTGCTAAAGCACCATAAAATCCATTCAGAAATACAAACAGAAATTTTAGTTTGAAATTGCCCCAATGAACCAACCTGCAAAACATTGCTCCTCAGTCCTCACAGTTACAAAGGTGCTCCACAAATGAAATCATTGATGAGCAAAACTCCTCCAGGAAAAATAAGTTACTTCAAGTCTTTTACGTTCGCATTTTTGATCCACGTTACGTTACATGCATAAAGCTTGACGTGTTTGAGGCCTGTGAGAGCCGAACACTGCTCCCTGCTGACTCTGCATTGCTTGTGCACATTGCACAAGGATGCCATTTCGCTCTCTATTTGTAGAGTGTAATGCATGATCTATCAAGCCTGTCATCTTATTTATCTGGAAATAAAAAAATAGAAAACACGCCAAATACAGCTACTGTTTTAATATTACAGCGGTTTACAAACACCGCAAATATCTTCACTCATACAGATGAGACAGTCTTCATCCACCTCCTAGGACAAAGACTCTTTTTACCTGATGTGTTTTTGAAGTGTGTTTATTTTGTTTCATTTCGAATATAGACCATACACACAGCAGCCACGAAAGGTGAGTACAGTATTTGTAATACTTAAGACAGGGGTGTCAAACTCATTTGACATTGTGGGCCACATACGGCCTCGGTAGATGTCAAGTGGACCATTAAAATGATACCATACTCTGCTATAAATAACCAAAATATCATCTCTTTCCTTTGTTTTTGGGATAGTGAAGCACAAGAACATTAGGAAAATGTCGACATTTAATGAACGTATCTTTTACAAAACATTTCATGAAGCACCTTGGAATTCCTTTGACAAATGTGCAATTTACTTTGATCATTCACTTATATGCATTGCAACTGATCCCACTGATTGTACAATGGCACAACATTTTAACAAGTAATTGGCATTGAAAAATAAAGTCATGAATTTTAAGATGAAACGAGATTTATAAAGAAAGGAATTTTTGAACCATTTACACATGTGCATATCAAATCTAAATGTAATCCCTGCCTGCACTTTACAAACAAAAGAGAAAACAGTCTGCTCCCTAGCGGACAATGCATGAATTGCATTTTATTAACAATATTAATTCAGTGTCTTTTATGCATTTTTTTCCCACATTTAAATTATCCTGCGGGCCTGATCAATCCTCCTCGGGGGCCTGTTCCCGCCCGCGGGCCGTAAATTGATTAAAAGAACAAAGCAGGCAATTTATAATAACCAGAGTGAGCCATCATGTATGGATTTGGATCTTTGGTTGAACGCCGCTACCGCAAGTTAGCTTATCAGTTAGCATCGCGAGGCTTCTGCTAATTGAATTCTTTGATCATGTTGAATCTTTCAATGAAACACTGATGGCCAGATGAAGCTTTGATGATTAGTAGTATTGACAACCGTACTGGTGTGAGATTTAAGCTATTTTTGTGTGTTCGTGGCGTGTAGCTCCTGCTGACTGGTTCGCTGCTAGTTTGGCTAACGATGTTTGCGGAGCTCAACAGCATCTTGAACGTCAGCCCGGAACACTTCAGCACGGTAAGAGGCTAAAGTGGCAGCAAGTCGCATTTGTGTAAATCGTCAAGTCTTAAACTTTAAGTTTTAAGCAATTCCCAGGTTACTCTGGCAAAAATCAAACGATTAACAGATGTACAGTTAGGAGCACAGGCGGGTATTAAAAGCCCCCTCCCTCTACTGTTAATTTACAATAATATGGCTCCTGTAAAAGTCACATGGAGCCTTCTAAATAATTACTTGAGTCAGAATCAAGTGAACAAAAAAAAAAAAATTGGTGAGTACCTTCTGTTTTTTTCTATTTCTTCAATCAGATCATAAATGTGAAATAAACAACAACATAAAATAGGAACGTAGTCATAGATTGACCTAACATTTGAGATTTTGTATCGTGCCATCACAATCAAGTGCACCACGTTTCATGAACTTCTAAAATTACGGACTTAGAGTAAGTTGGACTCTTTTCTTCAAACACGTTGCTTCCGGCTCACCGCGAATCATGTTTGTATTGATTATGAATGAAGGCTGCTCACACATGTTCTTGCTTTGTTGTCATCAGGGAGAGTTTGTGCTGCTGTCGGACAGGCAAAGTGATGCCTCTTTTCTCCTGCACCACTTCCTCGGATTCTACCTCAGAGGTGAACACATATCGTACACGTGAATGATATGACGTGACGTGATGTGACATGTCATGACAAACACGTGAATAATAAGCCTCACTGATAATTCACTAAAGTGTCAAATGTCGTGTCTTGTTTCAGCTGGCTGTCAAGTGTGCTTCGTGGCTCTGGCTCAGTCGTTCAGTCACTACAGTGCAGTTAGCCAAAGACTGGTACATCACACACCACAACACATTCGTTTTTTTAAAAAAAATTAAATACCATATAATGAAAACATGATACAAGGACACACGTACTACAAGTAGTACATCAAGTGAACTAACTGGGATGTTACTGTTTCATGAGAACGTGCAACTTAGATTTAATGTGACCGTTAATTAAAACACATGTTCAAGGAGGAACAGAAAACATCAACGCACTTAAATGATAATCATTAATGACCTCACGAAGTAAAAAGTTTAGTATAGCGTGCCGCATAGTATACCGGGAACCAAAGATCGACTGAAAACACAAGCAACAGTATTTTGTTTTTCTTCACATGAACCGTTAACAGTTCGTTTACAGTGCATGAGGTTCCCCATCCCTGGTCGAGATTACACCCACTACAACTGTTTCTTTAAATTGCAATCTGTGGGCTCTTTGGAAAAGGCATTCATAAAAGCCCAGCACTCGTTTGTATCCTTATATGGAAATTAGAAAAAAAAAAAGGGACAGACATGGTCTATTTGTCAGTTTGGACCATTCATGTTCCTTTTCTAACCATAAACAGTATTTATGTGTACCGAGAGGTTCAGTCATGAACCCTGAAGGGTACATCACAAAAACTTGAACCATATACCCCCAGCTATGGGACTATTCATATGTCATAAATCATATAAAGTTAGCTATGTCATAATCTTATATGTATGTCAAAAAGAGAAAGTGTTTGTTGAAAGATAATACTATTGATTTTTGATGGACTCATGATTTAACCATATGATCAATAATAGTGCTTAATTATTTCAAATGTGCCAGCCAAAAGATAGGCTGCTGCTCTTCATGTGATACAGAAAGAAAGCTAATATCTTGTCTCCTGTTTGTTGAGGGTGTGAATCTGTCTCAGGCCAAGGAGAAAGGTCAGCTCGTGTTCCTTGAAGGACTCCAAGAATCCTTGTCCATCCTCAATCCGCACGATGCTAGAACAGGAAGTGAGGCCATGGATTTCCTCAGGTGAAACCCCCTCCGGTTTTTTCCCCCGCCCGAGTCACATTTGCGTCGCTCATTGAAAACGTACAGTCCTCTCCAAAAGTACTGGAACGTGCTTAATTTACATTATTGTGAAGAACATGTTTGACTTGACTAAAGTGTCTTTTATTTGATCTCTCATTTTGTTCAGGAATCCCGGGGCAGGCCTGCAATGTCTCTTCCAGTTTGTTTCCTCCAGTGTCGATCATTCCAGGGGAGCAGAGGACGGTGGGCGCGGGCCCCCCGTGCTGTTGGTGGATGACCTGAGCATGCTGCTGAGTCTCGGCGTCGGCGTGGATGCCGTGCTGGATTTCAGCCATTACTGCCGCACCGCCATCTGCTCACAACTGAAGGTGAGCTGATGCCTCCGAGGAGAAGATTCCAGATGCCATCTTGACTTGACTTTGGTGGCAGGGCAATGTGGTGATGCTGCTGCGCTGCGACGGAGAAGATGACGACGACGACGATGTTGGAAGTGATGATGGTTCGGAGAGGCTGCTGAGGGGTTTGACTCACCAGTGTAGCCTCGCTCTTCATGTGCAAAGTCTCCCGACGGGATATTGTAGGGACATTCACGGTCAGGTGAGCAGTCAAGTGGTCCAGTTAAAAAATCTGCAAGTATTTAATTAACCGCCCTCACACACTCCTCCGAAAAAAAAAACCCAGAATAGGAAATAATAGGTTTGCGTGCTTGTTCAGGTGGAAATGTGCGACAGGAGGAGACAAGCCGGCGGTCAACAGAGGAAAATGACTTTTCACTTCAAAGTTCACGACAAAGGGGCTTCCTTCTTCGCTCCGGGGACTTCCAGCGCTGTTCTCTAAACTCGGCACGTCGAGGCATTCCTCATGAGGGATTGGCAAAGATGACGGATGACACCTTGCACAAAAGCAGACGGCAAATACAAAAGCAATTGATGATTGTGAATGCACATCCGGATGCTCCTTCTTTTAGGAGAAATTGTTTTTCTCATCTTCCTAAGTTATCAAAACCTTTTGAAGGTGACAGTCTTTTTTTTAACTTGAGAATTTTTCAGTTCATGCTTTTTTTTTACTTAGTTAAAGTTAAATGGGTACCATTTTAAAAAGTGTTTTTCCACAATTTTCTGTGCTCCTAAAGTACGGAGTGCATTAATTGATTGATTGATTAATTGTTAGGCATAATCACAAAAATTATTTTATTAAATCCTGAAATATTTCATTTTGTGTGTAATGAATCTAATTGAATTAATAAACTGTACTGACTTAAGTTTGCATGATATTTTAACTTCCGCGGGGAGAAAAAGAAAAAAAGTTAAATCCAAATGAACTGTATTTAGACACAAGTTTTTATTCTTATTTTTTAAAAACGTCTTTGACAAAGTTGCAGTGACATAGGTTGGCCATATAGAGGTCGCTGTGGTCATCAACGGTCTTGTTGTCGATTCCGTGAAGAAGTGTTCAGCGCATCAATCTTTTGTGGAATCTCAGGTTGGACGGCTCAGCCTTGCAGACCACGCCAAAAAGAAAAATAAAACCATGCCAGGCAACATTTAGCCGCTTTCCCCGACCACTTGACACTCTTCCAGGCATCCAAAAGGAGGAGGAGCACCGCGGAGCCGCTGCGGGGAAAACGTGACGTTTGTCCAGGCAAGTATTGGAAGTTTCGAGCTGCTTGGCTACGAGTGCGGGGTTATAATTGAGTGGACACAAAGAATTCATTAAAACTTATATTTTATCCACAAAGTCTCTTTCAAATGTAATGTATATTTATTAAATTATGATTTCTATTGAACGAGGCAACTTAAAAATGTACTCTTTATGTCATAACTTCCACCGTTGCGTCTATTTATTTTCAATGTGCAAAAATGGAAAGGGAATTTATGAACGCCGCGTAATAATTTGATGCTAGATAGAAACAATTCAACGTGTGCGGCACACTTATTAAAAAAAAACAACCTATACAATTCAACGTGTGCGGCACACTTATTAAAAAAAACAACCTATTTGATGCAACGCGAAATAGTCACCAATGAACTACAGATTCATCCGCGTGGTTGTATTTATTTAAACACCGGTGTGTTTCGTGAAAGGTGTTTGTAAATCTCAATGTGTTTTGTACCATTCGTCCATGTGATGAGTTGATGCAGAGGATGCTAACAGCTTCCTAGCCTATTATTGCTAACCTAGCTGCCAGGTCGACAGACAAATAAGCTTTATTCGTCCCTTAAATATTCGTGAATTGGATTTGTCTGTCAGTTAGGGGTTCTTAATGTGACTTTAAGGGATTTTATGGTGCACCCCGTGGAGCTAAAAGGCTAATGCTAACCCACGACAGGAGACAAACTTTCCCACCCGAGACGCAGTCTTTCGTATATTATTCCTTTCTTTTGGATTTTTTTTCACAATCTTAGCAAGAAGGTGTGCGTGGTGACATCGTATCATGAAAATATTACACTATTTACGACACGGAATAGATTGCAAAGCATGATTAGGTTATAACTTGAGCATTAGCATGAGCCTCCTGCGTGTGAACTTTATTTCATTTTATGAGTTTTATTGTGTTCTACAACCATCTGTTTCGTCCGTTCTTGTCGCTCAAGCGAATAACAAGCACCTATCTACTTGCTTGTTCACGGTGGCCGGGTAAATTGGAGATAAAGTACTGAGCCTGGTTAAAGCTCGGGTCAGCTTTTCGCAGCATTATTAAAAAATAATTGACGGTGTATTTTGCTGATAAATGAAGCGAAACGCGTTCTCAACACGAATGAGAACACCCCCGGAGTGGAAGTGAGGCAATGAGTTTGTGTGTCAGGAGGTTGATGAGAGCGGGAGAGAGTTTATGTGAATGTGTGTGTGTGTGAGTGAGACAAAGTCTATCTGCTGTGTGTGTGTGTGTGTGTGTGTGTGTGTGTGTGTGTGTGTGTTTGTGTGTACAGTATGTTACGCATGTAGTCAAATGATAAATGATTGATGGAGGGAAGGAAGTCCCTGTCAAGTGTTGCCTCACTTGCGGCAGCACATCTGATGACAGGGGGGAATCACGCTCACATGCACAACACCCTTGAAATACTTCTTGTGACCACATGAATGGTCATGTTGCTGAAACCTGGACATGGCTTGAGGGCTGCTGTTTTAGGAAATGCCTTTGACAAGAGGTAAGATGGTTGTTGGTCCACGGCGATTTACAGCAAGTGTTTGTATATTCATATGCTGTTTATTTCAGCATGTTGACAACCGACTTGTATGTGTGTGTGGTGGGGGGGTGGGGGTGAGATGTATCTCGTGTTCATCCAGCATTGTTGTTCATTGTTTGTGTTGTTAGGGCTGGGCGATTGATTGATTCCGAATAGTTATTAGGGATCAATGATTCGGGGAAATAATTGCAATTTCCACTGTGATTTTTGCGCTGGAGGTTTTCATGACAACGAAAGTTGACATGGTTCATTCAGTTACAGACAGTTGTCCTAATTTTCCCCTTCATTTTATCAACACTACGATGAAACCTGACCGTTGCGCTGTGTCTTGTCCTTGATGTTGGCGGCGTGGCGATTGTGCGGCATTGTATTTATTTTTGTAGCTGGCTTGCTTGGCTGTGTCCACATGTAAAACCATTTCAACACAATGGCCGCTCGCTCGCCAAGTAGGGGGGGTCGCAGGACGCAAACCGGAGGGGGTTCTTCCAAACGTGGAATTCGCCAGTTATTAATTAGCACCCACATCCACAAAAATTGTTGTCGTCAGCTCAAAGTTGTCAACACTGGGTGAGCTTTTGTGACCTAGCCCTTTTGTGTTAGCAACCACGTTATTAACAGAAGCATGTGTATGTCAGTGTGGATGCACTTTCAACCAACCCCCCCCCCCCTCCCCTCAGCAGGCCCTTCAACGCCTAGCGGAGGCGAACGCTCATTCTCACGGTCTTTAGACTCATCAGGAATGTGGAAAGCGAGCACATCGCGTTCCATGTGCGCGCCAAGCAAACGCATCTCAAAGGAGTCTATTGAGATGGCCGTGTTGTGATTACTGCGTCAGCTATTAATAGCAACGTTGCCTGCTTAATGCTCCTGAAGGGAACTCCCTGCAGAGTTTCTGTTAACGAGGCACGCAAAGACGCAACAACGCAACCTGATGTGCGACCGACGTGCTACGTTACGACGTGCTGCGCTGTTGAAGTGACCTTGGGCGACCCCGATGTCGACTCCAGGTTGACACTGGAAAGGAGAAACCTTTTTTCGGTTGCCTTACTTGGCTCAACAAATGAAAATAATTACGTTGTGTTAGCATTTAGTTGAGCATTTCTATTTTGTTAGCCAATACGTTAGTTAGTTGTGTTAGCAGATATATTGTGTAAGTGTGTTGTTGGCAAATATATTGCGTTAGCAGGATGTTAGCCCATTTTTTTCCATTTCTCAGCAAGTGAAGTTGGATCGAAATTGTATAGTGGCAACTGTGTTATGTTACGCCGTTCCACATTGTGCTGAAACCAAGGGTTTTCTAGTTAACGAAAACTAATAAAGTCAAGAAAACTAAAATTGGAAAAAAAAATCTTTGTAAAAAAATGATTAAAAAAAAAAACTTAACGTTTAGAAAACTAACTACAGCTATGTCCTTTTGTTTTTTTTGTCTTTGTCAATCAACAACATGCGTGAGCTTTCGGGGTATTTTATTTTCTGTATTACTACGAAGCTGCAGAAGAAGGAAGGTCAGATGTGTGAAAATTGGAGTGACCTGTTTTCTAATCTTGCACTCAACAACACCCCATACATTGGGGGAAAAACTAAGACTAAAACTAATAAAAACCAAACTAAGATGAACCGCGATGAAAAATAAGTGTAATGAAAAATTATTATTTTAACCCCGGCTGCAACACCTTAAATTGTATGTTTGACCTCTTCTGTCAGTTTGTTTGTCACATTGTTCTTCGTTTATTTCTCCAAACGCTGCGTTTGGCACAACACAATCATCCGTCAACGACGAGTCATTTTCACTTTTGTGACTCAGTGGTTACCTTGGCTTGTTTGATTTGCCAGTGCAACATTATGAACGACATGACATGCTAGTCACCGACAATTAAAACAAATGTTTTCGCCTCCTGACATTTTTTGCTCAATAAATAGGGTGACGCGCAACTGTCGCAACAACACAACGTGCGCAGTGGAGCACACAAGGTAACTTGGTAGATACTCAACCTGGGGCAATAAATAGAAATGAATTCAATCGTTGAAAGGCATTACATCCATGTTTTTGATTTGTAGCAAATCGCAGGGCGTTGTAACTTTACTATGAATATTCATATCAAGGATGAATCTTTCTTTTTGTCTCAGCAGGAACTCGAATGTCCCGCGGCGTCTGCTCGGCGACTGCCCCGTGCTCCCCAATGGCCGGGAGTTGACACCGCCCTCCGCGACGATGCTGCGCGAGCAGCTTAGGGAGAAGATCTCGGCGGCATTCTACCGCCACGGACTGTTGTGCGCAACCTACCCGGTGCCCATCATCCTGTTCACTTCAGTCAGCATCCTCACCTGCTGGTGGGTTTGCTCTGCACGCACACGCACTCACTCACTCACACACTAACACTCACTCACTCACACACTAACACACTCATCACGGGCCACATCATCGTCCCCTTGGATGGCTCTGATGACTGAAAATCGGATCAATGTATCGTGTATGTTTTTGTGCTCGGGCCATATCCTTGTCTAATAGAGAAATAGGTGATTTATCACGATCTTGTGGCATCTATTTGGGGGCAAATTTCTTGGAGATTTCGCAGTCTGCGACGGGGCTCTGAGGGTGAATGCTGTACTTTCTTTGCAAGCGTTAACTCATTCAGAATGCATTTCCCACCTTGCCCCTCCCCGCCACCCCTCTTTCTGGCAGCTACCCGTTACTGAGGCTCCCCCTCCCCGGCACAGGTCCCGTGGAGTTCACCACAAGCGTGCGGGACTACAGCGTTCCTTCCCGCGAGCCTCAAGGAGACCTCGGAGAACGGCCTGACTGGGTATCTCTCCTTTTTACTTCACTGACGTCACAGTGTTCTTTATCCTCTGCAAAGAATGACAAATGTTACTGCTGAGGAATGATGATAATGTGCATTGAAGGACAAACTCTCACAAAATTTTCTTAGTTCTTTTTTTTATTGTATTTAATTTGTTTCAGGACTATATGTTTTTATAAAGTATGCTATTCTTTTTTTATGGAGTGCTATTTTTTTACTCATTGAAAAAATATTACAGTTCCTTTTTGTGGAATAGGCTGGAATTGATGAACAGTAATTCAATTCGTTTCACGAGGGGAAGATGAATTCAACTTGTGGCATTTCAATTTGAAAAGCAGATTTTCAGGCTTGGCGAAGAACACGGGATAACTGCCGGTAGTTGAAGTGTCAGGAAGAAGAAGAAAGTGTATTTGTGGTCACGTTTTGCTCCACAACGCAGTACCAGGGACCTCCGGTGGCGTACATTCAGCAAGTGTTGGTGAAGGCGGCGGTGGTGCCATGGGACAACAGCCTGGTGCCGGTGGACGTGTTTCGCTCGCCGCTGGGGCGAGTCTTCAGCCTGCTGGACGAGATCCGCAACCACGTGCACACCGACAGGTTGGTCTTACACAACTAGAATCTTGACTCATGAGTGCCCCGGGTCGCAGGCAGGTTTTTCAAGTCGGAAGCTGTCTCTCGGTTGATATTTTTTTCTTTTTTTTTTAAACCCTCCAATGCACATTCGGCTGTGTACTTTGGCCGCTTTGTATGTCAAGGTACCCAATACAGTTCCTGCAGAAAAGTGTTCTCTTGAAAGAAATAAGATTTTTTCCGTCCTGGTCGGCAGCTCGGGCGTTCGCAGCCTGGAGTCGCTGTGCCTGCAGGTGGCGGACTTGCTGCCTGGTTTGCGGCGGATGCAGTCGGTGCTGCCGGAGCACGGCTGCCTGCTGGTCTCACCCGCCAACTACTGGCAGAACCAACGCGAGCTCTTTGACACCGACCCCAACCTCTTGAAGACCGTCCAGAAGCACGAGCCCAAAGGCCTGCACACCTCGGCCACGCTCAGAGGTGTGTGCGCGCGCCGGTGTGTCTTTAGTTTTAGTGGTGTGTGTGTGTGTGTTTTGTGTCTCTATGTGCTTTTTGTTTTGTATGCTTGTGTGTTTGTTTTCGTGCTTTGTGTGTTTATTGGATGTGTGCGTTGTATTTATTTGGGTGTGTTCGTTTTTTTTGTTTCTTAGTATCTTCCAATTATTATTTCGTGCACACCAATTACGACTTGGTATGCACGAACTATTACTCTGTGCGCATGAAATAATTGCAATGGCCACACAAAATAGTTACAGTGTGCACGTGAAGTAGTGCTGATCCCTTATTGGACAAGAGCGTAAACAAATTGAGCGCACCTTCACTGATTCGCTTCCCACTAATTAGTGCCTTCAAAAAAACCCCACAAATTATTGCATCTGACATTTTCATACCATTAAATAGTGATATTGTGACAAGAAGTTTTCATTTCGTATTGATCCACCCGTGACCATGACCCCTCCCAGAGCGTCACATTTGAACAGCAATAAAATTGATCCCGACGTCCAAGTCATCCCTCCAACCGGGAAAGCAAGCTGGCTCTCAACAGCCTCTTCAAATGTCTCTTAGCAAGCAATGGCAAGCTTTTCACGAGGTCCTTGGAACTTATCTCAAGCCTAAACAAAAATTCGATCGCGCCGTCCTTGTCCATTAATGCAGCTTTCCTTCGAACGTTCAACTATGAAAGAAGCCGCATTCTATTTTCATATTCAAGTGACCCGCGACGACCCACGGATAAGTAGTAGTTCGTGCCCAACAAGTAATTCCTCGTGCATACAACGTGTGTACGAAATATTTTTTTATCTTTTTTCTTGCAAACGTCATGTCTGGGGCTCTGTAAGTTTGGGAACCTGTGTACGTGCAGATTTGTTGTTCTTGTTTCTCGCGATTGTGTGTTTGTGTTTGCGCGATCATGTCGACGTGCGTTTTGTTTTCCAGACCTCCTGTTCGGCGTTCCAGGGAAGCTCACGGGCGTCAGTCACTACAACAGGAAGAGGGTGGTCACCTACACCATCAGCATCGTGCTGTCCAGCTATGACGCAAGGTGACAATTTGCTGTACTACGTTGGAGCTTAGTTTGCTTTCGCCTTGGGTCGGTTTTGCGTTCTGTTAGGTTCCTGAAAAATCTAGTGGAACTCCTTGGTGACCTGAGGAGAGGACCGCTTGTACTCTTGACAAAAATAATAAAATAAAAGCCTGTGCTGTGCGTTTTAGTTTCCTGGGCAGCCTTCGCACTCGCCTGAAGCAGCTGCACCCGTCCACCAACTGCACCGGCCTGATGAACGAGCGCATGGTCCACGTGCACTTCAAGGAGGAGATCGGCGTGGCCGAGCTCATCCCGCTCGTCACCACCTACATCATCCTCTTCGCCTACATCTACTTCTCCACACGTCAGTATCTGCCTGGCGCCGCTTCATCTCGGAAGCTTCTTAAGTCGCTTTTTGTGTGCCCAAGCTTGTTCCGTCGAGGATAATCTCCTGCACTTGGCTGGCCTGACGCGAGCGCGACCAGGACAAACGTTGGCTCAGTTGCCAAAGTACACGACGTGTCGCTGATTAACTTTGGCGTTGTTTGAAGAGCAACACGAAGAACACTTCCTTGTATTAAAGACATACTTTGTCATTTTTGGACCATTTAACCCTTTCATGTACCCTGTAACCTGATAATTACATGATAAGCTGTTCGCTGTAGTAACCGCTGTCCCTGAAGGGTTGAAAAGACTTTCCCAAATCGACTACGCAAAGGATGAAAATGACAAGGCGTTTAATATCCGATCGTCAGATGCTTGAAATCACTCTCGTTTGATGGGTCGGTTCCGTCTCATGCCAATGCAGAAGTTTGTCTTTCATTGCCAAGATGACCTGGGGTGGCAGCTACTCATTGTTCAACTTAACAACTTTGTAGCTATATGTAGTCAGTCTTTTTTTTTTTAATTAAAAAAACTGGCAGCAAATCTATTAAAATGGCATCTCTTTGCCTGGCTGCCATGTCACGGGTGGACTAATTAGATGTTGTGGTTGGAGTATGTAAATGTGACCTACTATTACATCACAGTTGGGCCAAATTGAGAATGTCTTGCTCGCAGCCATTTTTTTTTTAGAACTCGCCAAATACGATTCACTCCAAATTTCCTTGGTTATTTAGTTTGAAACTTTGTCGGTGGACTGGCACTCTCGACTCACATTATTACTCGCATTAAAAACTCTATTTTAACACCCCCCCTCCCCCTGCAGGAAAGATCGACATGGTCAAGTCCAAGTGGGGTCTAGCTTTGGCAGCTGTGGTTACCGTGCTGAGCTCACTGCTCATGTCGGTCGGCCTGTGCACGCTCTTTGGCCTCACGCCCACTCTCAACGGAGGGTACGCCCCGCACACACACACACACACACACACACACACACACACACACACACACACACACGCTTATCAGTGGCCTCCTTCCAGTGATTTGTGTCAATGTTTACTAGCGGTCTGTGAAGTAATTGCTATCCTGATATTGACGCTGCACATCCGTCCAATCATGTGAGAATACTTCGAAAGCAGATGCCGTGGCGTGACGAGCTTCATCCAACAATTGGACCAAATTTGTCTGCCATTGGCCCAAATGCACACACACGCCACTACACACGCACGCACACGCACAGCTAGTGAAAGGGTGCGTGCATTTGATGTCGGCACTGTTGACCCGTTTGTGCACTTTCGTCCCGCCACAAAATGCTTTCCCGCTGAATCATATGCATCGCGGCATAACAGATCACGTTACCTCAGCTCCGTTTGTGCATTTTCCGGACTGATAAATTGAAATAATGTTGAGAGATTAATTTTTATAAATCTGATGGAAAAAAAAAAAAATGATCCAATATTAACCCTTTCATGCACCCCGTAACCTGATAACATGACAAGCTGTCCACTGTAATAACAGCTGTCCCTGAAAGGGTTCATATCATCCTTAGTTGCAGCCTTGTTTAGCACTTTAGAGTGGATGTCTCTTTTGTGCTGACAGGGAGATCTTTCCATACCTGGTGGTGGTGATTGGTGTGGAGAACGTCTTGGTCCTCACCCAGTCTGTGGTGTCCACGCCGGTTGATCTGGAGGTCAAGCTGCGCATCGCTCAGGGTACGCGTGGCTGGGCAATATTGCCTCAAAATCAAATTGATTTCTGAATTCCGAATGTGAATCGTTTTGCTTAACGTGAAAGCATTATACACTACTATCCTTTGGAAATGAAAATGTCTTATTGTTTTTTTTTTTTTTAACCCCAAACAATTTAAAATCCTATAATATCGATTGTCCAAGAGTAGCACTGAAGCCTCTGAAGCTCTCATGCTGGGTTTTTTTTTTTTTTTTTTTTTTCCCCATGCGTACAGGTGAGGCGAGGGAAAAATATTTGCGGTTTGGAATGCACATATCTTGGGTCAAAAGCTTCAGTTTCTTTGCGGGTTGGTTTTGAAACAGCGAGTGACTTTAAAAAAAGCGCCTTCCCTGTCAACATCAACTGTACTTTTCTCCTTCCTATTTGCAGCAATGTTTGTAGTGTTAACAGTGCGTGCCAGCGGGGGACACGCTTTGAACGATGGAAGCCGCTACTAAAATTGGATTTCCTCAAATATAAATGTTCAACTCAAACGAATCAATAAATTTGAATAATTGCTCGCCCGTAGCTCGGTATGAGAAGCAAAAAGGCGACGTACATTGAACATAGCTGTGTTTTGACTTTGGACCTTATCGTCTGCAGGCCTGAGTAACGAGAGCTGGTCCATCATGAAGAACATGGCCACCGAGCTGTGCATCATCCTCATTGGATACTTCACGCTCGTGCCAGCCATTCAGGTTTTGCAGGCTTTTTTGATTTGGGCGCCGTCAATGTTGTGCAAGGTTTCTGAGTGACCGATCGCTCGGGATTACTTGTAGGAGTTCTGCCTGTTTGCCGTGGTGGGGCTGGTGTCCGACTTCTTCCTTCAGATGTTCTTCTTCACCACCGTGCTGTCCATCGACATCCGTCGCATGGAGGTGCGCGCATCCGTTTCTTGGAAGTCAAAAGACGTTTGCGGACACAAATCCATGATCAGTGCAAATATCCGTTGCAGCTGGTGGACCTGCACGGGCACATGCGAACCGAAGACAGCCTGCCGGCGACCAAGCCCTCCCCTTTGCGAACGCGGTCGGCGCCTCCTCCGCCGCGGCCCCTTCCTCACACCATCACATTACAGACCCCCGCGAGGAACCTGCGCCCCCCCAAGAGGCTTCGACTTGTCTACTTCCTGGCACGCACGCGCCTGGCTCAGCGCATCATTATGGTACGACCACTTAAATTGGCCACCGGTCCAGAATCCGAACGCCAGTCCGAGTTTAACGTCCAAGCGTATCATCATCGCCGCCTCGTTTGCAGGTCAGCACGGTGATCTGGATCGGCATTCTGGTCTACACCGACCCGGCCGGCGTGCGCACCTACTTGGCCGCGCAAGTGTCGGAGCAAAGTCCCCTGGGAGACGACGGGGGCGGAGGTCTGACCCCCCACCTGGAGGTGGCGCCCGTCTTCCGCGGAGGAGATCCGACCAGCACCCTCACCGACCGCCTGGCGCCGGACCCGACGCCTTTACCTGACAACCAACCGCAGGGCCCACCGGACTCCAAAGCAGAACCCCCGCCCCACTCCCCGCCGGCTGTACCCCAGATCACCTGGGGGGCTGAAGACGAGGAGGGCTGGAGGAGACTCTCATTCAGACACTGGCCTTCACTCTTCAGCTACTACAACATCACGTTAGCGAAGAGGTGAGTACACCAGCGCGGGTCGGAACTCCTTTCAATGGAGGCGACGGAGCTAGCTTAGCATCCGGGCCATGTTTCAGGTACATCAGCATCTTGCCCGTCATCCCCGTTGCCATTCACCTAAGCCCTCAGGAAGCCATCGAGGGGCGCCACCCTCAGGACACCCAGCACCCAATGCCGCCCATTCCCAAGGTGGCGGCGGATCTCCAGCCGGACCTGACACTTTACAAGTTAGTTGTGGCACTCACACATCGACACGCACACACATACACTCACTACTCAGATGACTGAAGCTTATTAGATGAGTTGAGGATTGTCACGCACTAGTTTGGTGAATTGCCGAGCAGCTCCAACATTCCTGTTGTTTCCGTCAGGGTGGCGGCGCTGGGCCTGGCAGCCGGCGTCCTGCTGGTTCTGCTCCTTCTTTGTCTCTACCGGCTTCTGTGCCCGCGAAACTACGGGCAGAACGGCGGGCGGCGGCGCCGAGGGGACCGGCCGTGCGACGGCTACGGATACTGGCCGCCCGTCAGCGAGATCTCGCCGCTCCTGTTACGGGGCCACAGCATGGTGGGAAAGAACCGAATTTCTCTGCGCGTCATCCGCCACCCGCTCCTGGAGAGTTTGATGCCTTCGCTTTGTCGCCTTGCAGGACATCGAGTGTCTGGCCAGTGACGGGATGCTGCTGGCCAGCTGCTGCTTGGCCGGACAGATTCGTGTGTGGGATGCCCAGACAGGAGACTGCCTGACTGTCATTCCCAAGCACGGGTAAGGCGGAGCCACTTCCGATGCCACCTTAGCTGTCACCCAGATCCCAACTTAAATGCCACTGAATATGCCATCTTAGCTTCCATGCTAGCTGCCGCCACTTCAACTACCACACTCGACTCATGTTCGATGCCATCTTAGCCTCTCTGTCAGCAGCCAACTCTGTGCCCCCCCACTTAAGTTTGACAACTTAGATGTCTCCCTCGACGTAAACTTCCAATTTCACTCAAGACGGCGTCCTGTTTTTGAAGCGACTGAGCATATGTGGCTTGTACCACCTCCAGGCGGAGGCGGAGCAGCAGCATGGACTGCTGGGTAAACTTCAGCTCAGAGGGTCCCGACCCCTCCCTGAGCGGCGACAGCCTGTCTGAGGATGAAGGCCATCAGGTGAGGCACCGCACCACCCCCAGCCGGCCGCCCCTCTTCAAAGACCAGCCGGACCTGACGCCGCTCATCGAAACCAACTTCGCCTCCACGCCGACCTGCCCCAACGCCGCCAGGCCCACCAGGGACGGTTTCCACTACGGCGACCTGGTGGCGGACGCCTACATGGCGCACAAGCCGCCCTCGCCGTCGAACTTCTACTCGCCCTCCTCGTCCTCGCCGCCTTCCACCGCGCCGCCCCACAGTCGCCCCAGTTTTGGCGACGCCTTTGACGTGACGCCCCCGGACTTGGGCGGCGGCTCGGTGTGGGCGCTGGAGCTCAGAGGGAATCTCATAGCTGCTGGGCGGAGCAATGGCAAACTGGAGGTGCGTGTTTGTCACGGGTGTGTGCGCACCGTGAAGTTGTCGCGTGGACTTGTCTTTGCACATGCCATGTGTCACGGTGCCGTGTTTTTAGCTGTGGGACACCACTGACGGCCGGCTGCGCTGCTGCAGCGAGGGCGTGAGTGCATCCGGCATCACGGCGCTGGCCTTCCTCAACAACAGGTGTGTCGCACCTTTTGAAACTTTTCCACGCCGCCGGCTGACGAGTCGTTTCATCTTTGTCAGAATCGTGGCGGCGCGTCTGAACGGCTCTCTGGACTTCTTCAGCGTGGACGTCAACAAACCTCTCGCGCTGCTTCAGTACCGAGGTGAGAATACGTGGGTGCACCTTTCAAGTGAAACCAAGCCCAACCAAGTTTTTTTTTTTTTTTCTTTTCAAAAAATCAATTCTACTTGCTCACACTAGTCCAAACACGGTATTCTGATTAATATTGCGTTGCCGGAAAACAACTTAACTGACTCCCGTAGCATAGCTAACATAACTACAGGATGATGACGTGATCATTTAACCTGCCTCTTTGAAGTTAATTGGGCCTCCTCGGAAGAGAGGGGAGGGATGAGCAGTTACGCACAGAGAAGGGGAGCAAAATCAAATAGACTTGTGCATTGTCCTAAAAAAAAATTGCTCATGAGTACTATTTTAGCCTCAAGGACAACCTAGGTAGCCCTCAAGCTTTTGGGAGCTATCGTGTTACTTGCACATAACAAAGTGTGATATAAAAAATGTGAATTGTCGTGTTGATTTATTTTTCCCCTTCTCGTTTTAGGCACACCATGCCGGGCTGGGGTCCCCATGTCGCCCTGCTACAGCAGCGAAGACGCCATAAGCTGCCAGCTAACGCGCTCGGTGCAGTGCGCCCACCAGAAGCCCATCACGGTCTTGAGGGCCGCCGCCGGCAGGGTGATCACCGGGAGCCACGATCACACCGTGCGGGTAAGCCCCCCCACCCGCCTAGGGGGAAACGCCGGAAAGGATTGCAGAATGTGCTGAATGTTTGTTACGTGCTCAGGTTTATCGTCTGGAGGACTCTTGCTGCCTCTTCACACTGCAGGGCCACTCGGGAGGCATCACCGCTGTTTACATCGATGAGGTCACTTCCTGTTCCTTTGAAGTGTGTGTGTGTGTGTGCTTGCCATTTTTGTCTTGGGACTGTGTTTAACTGTCATGTGCAAATGTTGGACTGTGTGTGTGCGTGTGCGCACGCCTCTGACCAATCTTGGGCAGTGCTGTCATCGATGTTTCTTGTTCTTGCGTTTCCTCAGACGATGGTCCTGGCGAGCGGCGGCCAGGACGGCGCCATCTGCCTCTGGGACGTCTTGACGGGCAACCGCGTCAGTCATGTTTACGGTCACCGCGGCGACGTCACCTCCCTGGTGTGCACGCCGCTCTGCATCATCAGCTCGGGTTTGGATGACCTCATCTGCGTCTGGGATCGCAGCACCGGCATCAAATTGTACTCCATACAGCAGGTACGTGTCGCCTGGTGGCCATGTTGCAGTTATGACTTTTCCTTTGACATCCTCCCGTGTGCGCGTGTGTTCCCCCTTCGCAGGAGGCCGGCTGCGGTTCCAGCCTGGGTCTCATCTCGGACTCTCTTCTGGTGACTGGCGGTCTGGGCTGCGTCTCCTTCTGGGATTTGAACTACGGAGACTTGATCCAGACGGTCTACTTGGGTCCAAGTAGCGACGGTCAGGGCGTAAGGCAGCTACTCGTCCTCAACAACGCCGCCATCGTGTGCGACTTTGGCAGTGAGCTCAGTCTCGTCTTCGTACCGTCGGTTCTAGAGAAATTGGACTGAAGTCTGAGAGCTGATCTTTGATTTCACGCCCTGTATGCTGCTTGACCCGGGAAAACTCAGCCCGCCCTCAAAGATAGCTGAAAAAAAAAAAACAACCCTGCTGCCTGTTCGCATCATGTGCGAACGTATGACCTGCTGCCAACTATATACACCTCCTGGGGGCGCTGTTTGTTACATATACATCATTATTTATTAGAGGTACAGTACTTGAGATCTTTACTATGGAACTTGGGAGACATCAACGTCATATTTTTATTTTTTTTTTTTTAGCCTTGTGTGTAGTAGCTACAACATAGACTTTGTACAATGCATACCTGGCATGCCCAACTCTATTTTCGCACCGCCCCGCAAGGACATCTCTGTGGCAATGCCATGCACAGGTTGCCTTTCCAGTCACGTTGTTTTGAAATTCTGCTGGTCGCTGTTTTTACTTTCCGGAACAAGGATCAAAGCCACAATGGAGACCGTGGATCATTGCGGTTGAAACTTGGGAGCGCACATGAAATCTCAATTTTTGAAGAAACTAGCCGCAGAAAGGCGAGTACGTCATCAAAGCGATGTGACTTAACGGGCAAATCATGAGAGATGATGGGTGTGGCGTTCTACGCCCGGCGATAATTTCTGTCGTGCATGCGGCATGTGTTGCGGACCGATCATAGCGGTGCCTGCCCGACAATGCTTTGGTCGTATGCGGGAGTATAAAGAGGCTTTTTCGTAAATTGCATCAGATGCAGACAGGACTTTTCACACTGCACTCGGCAATGCACTGTTGACAAACCCACTAATGTGTGTAAGTGTTTCCAAGGTGCAAGGAGGGCGTCCCGTCGTGGCGCCACATTGCCCTCAAATACACAAAAGTTCAATTTGAGAGTGCCGTATCGGATATCAGCGGGCTCTCAATTGCTCGGGAGACCAGCTAGCAGGAAAAGCCTCCCTGTTCATTCCTATGCAAGCGTTTCCAACTAGGGGCAAGCTTGCATGCTGTTGTCCTTTCGCGCTGCCCTGCGGTGAGAGAACAAGTGCGATGTGAAAAGACCTTTAGGTGTAGGTGCCACTTAATTACAGGGTTCCCACTCTTCCACTTGCTTTTTATTTATGGACCTTTTAAGGACTCCCCCCCCCCCCCCCCCCTTCCGCAGGGGATCGCGGGGGATTTAATGAACAGAAAGCCACATGTCACTGAGCTGATGTTCAAATCATTGCTGCCAAAAGAAGGGCACATCTTTATTTTTCGGGGCAATCAGCTAACCCTTTATTTGACATACTGTATGTCAAATTGGCCTGAAAGGACCCGAAGTGATCACGTGATCATCATCGGAACTGAGCGTAGACAGCGGGAAAAGCAGAGCGGGAACCAGGAAGGCATGTAGCCCGACAGCGGGGTTTGAGGGGAAGGGCGCCAGGCGCGTTTTCTGACAAAACTATTCATTGGAAGGGTGTGGAAAATGACATACACAAATTAAATGAACACCGCTGGTTAATTTTTAAGGATTTTTATTGATTTAGGAAGCTTTCCCTGAAAATTAAGGACAATTAAGAATATTTTACAACTTTTTATGGATTTCTATTAACTTTAAGGACCCGTGGGAACCCTGAATTAATTGCACATGCAAACTAGTTCAGGTGCAGATTTGGTTTACATAGCTAACAATGAGTTAAGTTGTATTTGCGAAGGTGAGAAGCACCAGTATGACTTACAAAGTTGTATGTGCATGACACAAAAGTAGAGGTGCGACTTGCAAATCACGCATGCCACATGGAAAGTCGGGGTGCAACTTACCAAGTTGAACATGTGAGATATCAAAGGTGTAGTTTTGACTTGCTTGCTAAGTACATAAGGTGCAACTTGCCGAGGCGCATGGGCAACTTTCTACGTTGCACTTCAGTGTGAAACTTGCAGGGTCACACACACACGCCTTTCGTTCTTTGGGTCTGTAACTTACTGTGTAAGGTGCAACCCCGAGATACTAAAAGTGTAGGTGTTGTCATATTTTTCATTTTCTACATGAATGAGATGGCCGCGTTTTGACACCCCGTTAACGTAAATAGCGATGACATGGATAGCTTGTATCTCACGCCTAAAACGAGCCTTAGGGAGCTCGCTGATAAAACTTGGTAAAGTGCACCGCCCTTATGTCGCATCTTGCACACGCAACTTATAGGGAATCGCACACGAGATTTGTAAAGGTGCGCGTGCGACTTAATTGGAGACAAGATACAAAATGTGCAGGTGTGACGTGGTCTCCCGGGTTGCGGACAGTGTGGCGGGACAGGATGTTGCTGAACTGGAAGCTGCAGTGCACACATAGCGTTTACGTGACAATGACATGCGGTTGCAACTTGGAGGTCACATGACTCTCGCTGCCGCTCTGCTTCTTCATCCCTTTAGCGCAGGTGTGGGCAAAGTCCATTGGTATTTATTGCATTCACTTCGATAATTTAAAAATGTATTTTTAATCATGATGTGATTTATGTATTGTTTAAACAAAAAATATGAAACATAATTTATTAAATGCAATTAACTAAAATGAGCTCATCCTTATGTCTTTTTCAAAAATGATTTGCCCACTCCTGCGTTAACATTTCACTGCTGAACTCGTGTGACTTGTTTGGACCAAACAAAACAAATGTAGAATAAGAATGTATTTTCTGGTCGCGTGTCACACGCTAACTTAAGGCTCTTTAGGCACTTTTGTGTTAGCACATTTTGTCAATGTTTTGGGTTTTTTTTCCCCTCCATGTAATGTCAGCCACGTGAAGGGACGAGGGGGCCGGGGTGTCCACCCCTGGATGCAGGAAACCCACGCCCCCTTATTCCCCCATTGGCTGGCTATGCGGGCTTAAGTAGTGACATAATTTATTGACTTGTTTTGTAACAAAAGCTTTGTACTAATTTTCCAATAAAGACACTTTGATATGACAATTAGATTTTTCACTTTATTGTGCAACTTGGTGACTCGCAAGTGTGACCAAGTGGCATTTAATGTGTTGTGCTTGTGAAACAAAGCTAAACGTTCGACTTCCTAAATTGTGCCTTACTGAGTTGCGGGTGCCAGAGATCTGCCACCTGTCAAAAACTACTTCAGTGAATAGAGGCGGGAAACTCCGCTCCCCTCATCCCTGACTTGCTTGACTGTGCAGGCTGCAGAAGAGGCATAACTTAATGACTCATAAAAAAAGAGTCTCACTTTTAAATAAAGTCGCTTTGATGAGACATGACGTCTAAATCAATTTATTTTTAATTATTAGTCAAACCTTGAAATATTTACAAAGTTGCTTGATTGGTCACCTTAAAGTGCCCCCTTGTGGATAATGATGGTGGTGCATGCTGAGAATTGTTTTTTTTTTAAACTTGTTTTAGGGTTTGTTGAGGCTCCACAGGGGGTCCAGACCGCTGAGGGGGTCCGTACTCTCAGCCCCCCAAGTTCCATGGAGACCCTGGCCCTCCACTGGCTGCAGGAAGCTCTGCTTGGTCACCCGTTGTTTGGCCCCACCGCTGCCACCGCCCTCCATGGAGAAAGCCTCAGGGGCCAGCGAGGCAAGCAGCTCTAAAGACGAGGTTGGCGGCGGGGTGGTAGTCTCCGGTGGTGGTGAAGCCGCATCCAGGCCGTTGGGTGGCGGAGGGGACGGAACGGCAGTGGGCGAACTCGAGCAGTCGGGGCCTGACGGGGGTGACGCGGGTGAGCCCGTGACAGCGCCTGGCTCCATTGTGGGGCAGGGATCTCTTGGCGAGTGGATGGACGGCGAAAAGGAGAGGGATGGATCATTGTCATCATCTATGTCCAGGTCACCGGGGGTCGGTACACTGAGTTTGGCGATGGTGGCCTGGATGGAGCTGATGGGCAGGTCACCACCGAGAACCAGGTCCTGCTGGGACTCCTGGCGGGAGTACGACTGCAAACAAAGACCAGGAAGTCACGGTGGCAACTATTGTTGTGAACACGCCATTCCCTAGGCACAAGAATCTTCACTTTCAACGAGACCATACACTCTGGATGAGAATCTTGCTTGACTATATCCTTTAGGAAGTACCACCTACGCATGGGTTAAGCACCTTATCTCAGCATTGGAATCTTCATTTGGGACAACACTATTCTCTTATGACTAGAACATTCACTCCGGACAAGAACCTTCTTTTTGGACGAGACAAACATCCCTGTGTCAACTGCATGCATTTGCTTGTTTCAATGTTTAATTTTCCTCACCTTGGAGACAGTCGAAGCGGCATTCCTGCTGTCGGTGGCCACGGAGACACCGTGTTGGAGCAATATCTGCTCGGCGTGTTTCGCCACAGCCTCATAGCAGAACTTGAGGTGCAGCTGCATGGGACAAGAAAGTGCGGTGCTTGGTAACTTAAGTGAAGCCGCAGCGGGCGGCGGCGGCATCATACCTTCTCTTGCAGCATGTTCTTTCTCTGCTGTCGCATTTTCCTGACCAGGGCTCGTAGGTCGGCAATGCCGTGCCCGGCCTCCAGCTCCTGCACCGCCGCATACAGCAGACAGAAGGCCCCAGTGCGACCCACGCCAGAACTACAGCACAACGAGAGATAGACAAAAAGAGAATGTTCTGGTTAAGACTTCTGCCAAGGACTGCTTGAGTACAACCAGTACCCTGCTCATGAACAGTGATGTCATCAAACACGCGCAGGGTCCTTATCCCAGGGCTGGAACTTCTCTCGGGACTAGGACCTTCCCTGGGTACTAGAACATTATCGGTGGACTCGTACCTTCTCTCAGGAGCAGCGTTGTCATTGTTCAGTGAACAGTTATTTTCACAGTTTTGCTCAGGACTGGAACCCTACTTACCTTCACTGGACTGGAACATTGGTGGAACGAGTAACTACTACTCGGATTTGGGACTATTGTGAATAGAACCTTATTCTCTTGGGAGGAGAAACATCTTTTGCTCAAAAGAGTTACTTTACTCTGGACTCAGGATGAGCACATTCACTTGGGACCAAAACCATTCTTTGTATTGCTACCTTCCCTCTCGGGACTTGTACCTTCCATCTAGGAACTAAAACCTTTCACTCTTGGGTCTAACTTTCGAAGATCGCATATGTCTATGTCTATAAATAAGGTATCGTCTGTACTAGATTTGCAGTCTGACCTGCAGTGGACCACCACAGGCATGTGCATGGGTCTCTGGTGCAAGTAGTGTCCATGGACCTCCTGGAAGAAGTGCAGGAGGTTGCTCTTGCTATCAGGAAGTCCTCTGGTAGACACAAAAGACACATACGTCAAAAGAACAATCTGAAATTAGACAGTAATTGAAGTGAGTGCTCGTACAGTTCTGGCCAGGAGGTAAACTGCAGGTGGACCACGGTTCGCTTCAAGCTCTGCTCATGGTACTGCAGGCAGATCATCCGCTCTACGTGGGTAGCCGTGGTCTTATGTGTGGTCAGACTGATCTTGATGGGACCTTGAGACAACTGTTGGCCGCGCTCTGTTGGGAAGTAGCGCGCCACTTTTCCCTACGAGAGCACAAGTAATGCTGTCAAACCATTTTGTTTTTTCCAGCATCTCTGCTCATCTGCACTGCTGACATTAACAAGAGAGGAGCTAATTTACAAAAGCATAGTCACCATTGGCAAGTTGATACCTTTCAACACCCTCTCACAATCAGTTTCTTGGAATCAGGAATCCACAAAATGGTGCCGATGTAATACTTTTATATTGAGACAGTGCTTGGCTCCTCCACTCACTTCAACAGAGATTCTTATCACCAAGATGCTACCAGATGCTCGACCAGACTTAAACCAAGAAGTAATCATGGCAGTTACCTTCTCCACTTCTTGCTCAGACACCAGCATGACCACCAAGGAGACCTTCTGCTCATAGACCATTAACCAGAAGTCAGCGGCGGTGCCAGTGAGTGGCGCCTGTGTGGCAATGATTTGCGGGCAAAACGGTGACAAGTCTTTGATGTAGCTGGCGTTGATGTAGTCGTCTTTGCCCGACTTCAGCAGCACACGGTTGAGATCGTAGGGCATGACGTCCTGGTGCCGGTTCTTCATGGTGTAGCAGCGGGCAATGGCGATTGACAGTTGCCGGGCATCCCTCTCCTGCTGCTCCTGGAGCTCTTTCCAGTGTGCGTCCAGCACCGACATCCCCTTCTCGCCGTCTGAAGGCTCCTCCAGGGACTCTACCTGCGCTCGGAAATCTTCCAACTCGGTGTGAAGGCGGGCTACGACCTCCGGAGCTTCGTACGGATCGCCTTGGATCAGAAGAATGCCCTGGGAGTCTTTCTTGCGACGCTCCCCTTCCTGGGGGTCTGCTTTCGTAGGCTGGAGGACATTGGTGGGGGACTTGGTGCCGCCCGGTTGGCTTTCGGGACTGGAAGATAAAAGGTCATGGTTGCTGGAGCTCTGACGTTGGAAGAGAGAAGTCGAGGGAGCACAGATGGCAGCGAGAGAGGAAAGCGTCGGTGGAAGCGTCGCACCCATGTTGGGGGAAACAGTGGGTATCTGCTGGGGTGTCAGAGCCAGAGCAGAAGGTCCAGGTGTGGGGGATGTCGACTGTGCAGGCGACGGGGATGGAGGATGGTTTGGCTGTCCTGGTTGTCCTACTGGAGGACCTCCAGGACAGGGTTGGAGCATGTGCTGGGGAGGCATGAGAGGATGTAAATTGTGTGGGCCAAGGGCAGGTGTTGGTAGTGGGGCACTTGTGGGCACATTAACCCCTGGAGTTGATGGGTACATTGAAGGCTGCGAGTGGGCAACACCATGAGAGGGTTGAGGCTGTTGGGGTGCAACGGACTGCGGTGCCAGGGGCTGCTGAGGCATCATGGGTGGTCCTCCAGGATAGCAACCACCCACAGTGTGGTGGGCTTGGACATGGGTGTGACTGGGCATGGAGATGGGCGGTTGAGGCATGTTTGGAATGGGAGGATGTCCAGGGTGGGGGTGGTGCTGCGGGGCAAGGGGGTTAGGGGGGGTGTTGCCTATGGGAGCCATTGGAAGATGACCCTGAGGAGCAGGAAGCAGATGAGGTTGTGAAGCAGGAGGCATCTGTGGGTGATGTGCGGGGTGGATTGTCTGACTGGTAGAAGGCATCGGCCCCCGGGGGCCACTTTGTATTTGTGGATGGGGTCCCAGTGGCTGAGCACTGGGGGGCATTGGGAGGTGCTGATGAGGGAGGTAAGGTTGAGAAACAGGTGGTACGGTCTGAGATGTAGGTGGGAGCTGGAGAGGAGGATTTTGTGGTGGCATCAGGCCCCGAGGTGGACTCGGCATGGGGCCTGGCATCACCGGAGGGTGCTGCTGGGGGGCGTAGTTCTGGGCCTGGTAACCTTGGGGTATCTGTGGCGGAGCTGTGTAGCCATTTTGTGGTGGTTGCCTATGACCTGGGAACACTTGAGGGTACTGTGGAGGTGTGACAGGCCTGGGAGGAGCACCATGCTGCGGAGGGGCGCCGGGGTGTGGAGGGGGGACAAGCTGCGGCGGGCCGCCAAGTTGCGGAGGGCGGCCAAGCTGCGGAGGGGCGCCGGGCTGCGGAGCCATGTAGCCATGTGGGTAGTTGTGCATTGGAAGTTGAGGGGTCGGAAGGGTTCTCGGTCCGGCTTGAAAGCCTGAGGACTGGGGTTGCCCCAAGGGGGGTGGGTACTGATGCTGCAACTGCTTCTGTTGTGTCATTTGAGGCACAAACTGGGGGTAATTAGTGGCACCCATCTGTGGAGGTCCGGTGTAGGCCGGAGAAACTGAGGGTGGGACGGGGGCTCCTGTGTAGGCAGCAGAAACCGAGGGTGGGACGGGGTAGTGAGGTGTCGGAGTGTAGCTGGGTATAGGTGCTTGAATGGTGTCCACAGTGGTGGTTGAAGGCCGGACTGGGGCAGGACAAACAGGGCCCACTTGGGGGACTTGAGGCCTGTAAGCCGCCTGTTGTGGGGGCAATTGGCGGGCTATGTGAGGAATAGGTCTACATGCCAAAGGTCCTGGTATGGGCAGTGTGCCAGATGTTGGAAAATTGGCAATCCGCGCCAGAAGCTCCGGTGGCGGGAGATTGGCTGGGAAGCGAGGAAGACCGACAGCTGAGTGACCAGACCAAGGCAATGAGCTGCTGCCGCCAATGTTGGCACCCGGGGGGAGGAATGCTTCTGGACCCAGCTGATGAGCCGCAGAGCTGCGGCGAGAAGGAATGTCTGGTGGGAGGCTGCGAAGCTCCTCTGGCTTGTCCTCTGATAAGGCCAAGATGGCGGCATTAATTTGGGCTAACTCCGGATCCTCCAAACTGGAGTCTTCATCCTGAGATTTTGGCTTCAAAGAAGGCTTTGCTGCTGTGGGTCTCGCTGGAGGCTTCTTTTGGATCTCTCTACAAGGAGAACAGAGGTAAGAATCGGTTCGTTTGAGTCGTTGCGAACTAAACAGAAAAGTAGAAAACCTACCTTTCAAGGAAGTGCTTCCTCGCCTCCATCCTGCTCTGACACAAAGTCTTTACTCTCTCCAGCAGACGTGACGCTTTGGCCTCCAAGTCATCGTAGAACTCCTTGCCCTCCTGCGACTTCTTCATCAGGTCCTCGTAAGCCTCGTACGAGCCCACAAGGCCCTCAACCATGCTGGTCCACTGCTGCTCCGTCTCGCTCAGGCTTTTACGCACCGTGGCGTACTGAACGTAGGTCTCGGTCAGAGCCTTCAGGATGTTTTCTTGGGCTGACAGGTTCTGGTCAATGTAGACCTTCAACGGCTCGTACTTCTTCAGCTGCTCCTCAAACAAGCCCTGCAAGTACAAAGTGCAAAGTTGTAGTAAGGAGTTGCGGTGAGGTCTGGAACTTCATTACTGGGTTCCGGTGCCTCATTGTGATGTCCGAAACCTCCTTCCTGGTTCAGTAGCTCAGAGTAGGGTCCAGAATATTCTCCCTAAAAAGACATACCCTTATGTCGGCTTTCTCGGTGGTGACCAGGGTGCAAGTGATGTCGTCCTGTTCTATGAGGTCCCGTAATTGTTTCTCCAAAGTGGCTCTCTGGTCCCTCATTTCTTGAACCTTCCCCAGGATGCGCTTCATGCACTGCAACCCGGCCATGTCCTCTGCTCAACACAGCACAACAGACTCCCTTATTTTGCTGAGACACAAGCGCAAACCATAAATCATTTTTACCTTCGCTAAGTTGCGGGCGAGGCAGGGTGTCTCTCAGGCTCTCTAGTGGTCCGCCCAGCAGACGGAGGTTGCTGATGTGCAAGTTCATGGCCCGGTGGAGTTCCGTGTTGGTGAAGCTGGCCTTCTCGTGGGCCTCCATGTATTTCTCCAGATCCCTGCGGAACTCTGCAAGAAGCTGAGCATGCGCTGCCGGGTGGGCCTCAACCGGGGCGCCGGATTCCGAAAGGGTCCGTTCGGCCGCCTCGTCGGATTCCAGAATGTCTCTGATCTCTCGGAGGGACGACTCCACTTCGGTGAAGATGCCCGAGAGGACTGAGGCACAGAACACAGAAGATGGAAGTTAGTCTTTTACACCAAGAGTTTTTCCCATAGGAACCCATCATAATCCTAACGTCATTTAAATATAACGATCCTGTGTGACCTTAAACTCAATAAGAATTCAAAATCTGCATATTTTGTTCATGTTATGATGACATACTGATATTTTTTGAAGGAAAAAAAAGTTGATAAAGAGTTTTTCAGGAAGTTATGATCTTTACAAGAAGACATACTGTACTTTCTCTCTTTGCGAATAAGTTTGGACTTTATTCCGAGAATAAAATGCTGAATATTAATCATGCAGGGTCAAAGTTATGTGACGATACACACAATTATATCTGAGGTTTTTATTGGCCCAAAGCCAAAGGAATAATTGATTTACGATGTTTTATTGGAATGCCTGTCCCTATTTGTAGGTCTGCCCTTTTTTTAAATGGTGCAACAATTTATTGCAAATTACTTGATGAACCCCTGGACCCATTCTGAGAACCACTGTGAAACACTATTCCTCTGGTTTACTGACGCAAAACGCACCTTGCATGGACTGGATAAGACTCTTGACGGTGTCAGGACGCACGCTAAGAGCAGCGCACTTTGCCATCAGGACCTGCGGAATGTGGTTGTACATGTCGAGATTGTCGACGGACTCCGCCTCCACGTCCAGAGAGTCCATGAACTGCCTGCGGGGAAGGGACGGAAGGTGTTAGCTTAGCAATTAGCAACACTCCATTTTTACACGTGCATGCTGCTCACTCCAGGACGTCGTTCTTGCTTTCGATCTTGGCCATGACGTCTCTCAGCAGCTTCGCTTTCTCCTCGCTGTAAACACAAAGATTGTGTGGCAGCTCGAGTGCTAACGTGCTGCTATGCTAACAGTATTGGTGTGTACCTGTAGAGGGAGGCGGACTCATGGGCCGCCATGGGGACCAGTTTGGCAAAGAGGTCCGGTCCGGTGACACTGGGGTCCGTGGGATTGACGGGAAGGGCTTTGACCAGGGGGGCACCTGCACACGTCAAAGGACTTTACCATATTTGACAATATCAAACTAAAATCTTTTTTTTTTCCGATCAGATTTTTGATCTTCATCATTTTGGCCCCTTATAGAGAAAGCAAATAAAATCAATTTATCGCCCAGCCCTATTAGTGCGCTATGCTAACTGACAACTCTTACCTTTGACGGATGTCAACGTTTCCAAAGATGGAATGGTCTCGTGATAGATGAAGTCATTGTCCTTTTTGGCAGAGTTGTATCTAACAAATAGGGTAGTCAAAGCAAACTGTGACGAAAAAAAAAAAAAAAAGACTCAACAAGTTTTGGGAAAGTGTCTTTCTTACTTGCCACCAATGACATCCATGGTGAAATGCAGAGCCTCCTGCACGGTGTCAGGCTGACCCTGGGTACACAGACGTTGTTTTGTAAGACCACCGTGATAACCGGTGTGATTCTGGTCTGAGAAATTCTGTACCTTGGCCAGCTTGATAGCCTCGGCCAGCTTGTCCAAGGCGCTCTGAAGGTATGCCAGCTGCACACAAACAAGCGGGCGCACTTAAACACAAACACAATCATATGTAGGTTTGGCTTGCGACTGTTTATGGCGTAGTTGTGCGTACCTGCTCGCCGTACTTTTGCTGCTCCTCGGCTTGTTTGCCCATGTGGAACTGTGTGAGGAGTAACAGTGAGGTGGCGTGTAGGTCGGGGTGTCTCACGCACACACAAATGCACTCTGTGCAATTCACACTCACATGCGCGATTGAGGCAAAGTAGTAGATCTTCATCTGCACCAGCTTTTTCCAGTCTTTCTGGATCTTTCCCAGCATGGAGGCCGTCTCGGAGTTCTCCAGAGCCCTGCAGGCCTCCTTGTAGTAATCCACCACCTGGATGGGGCGTCGCAGTGTACGCGCTTAGCAAGCTTGAACGTGTGCCACGATATCATAATATCGGAATCATTGACCGAGGGATGCACCCACCTGAGCGCTGATGCGGGCCACCAGGAAACTCTTCCTGTTGTCCAGCATGGATTTTTCCAGAAGACACTCCTGAGCCTGACCCTGACATACACACACAAAGATTGAATGGCACTGTGTGCGTGTGCATGTGCACGTGCACGTGTGTACTACCAGCATGAGGTTGATGTTGAGGTTGAGAATCTGGTGACTCATGTCGACGCTGAAGTTGTGACTGAAATGGTCACTCAGGTAGGAGAACGCGCCCGCTGAGCACTGGAAATGCGTGCATGACACCTTCATGCCCTGGAATCATAACAAAGCGCGTGAGTGTGCGCATGTGTGTTGGTTCATGTGCTTCGATGCATCATACCTCCTCCGACACGCGGTTGTCCATGGCTCCCAACATGGAATGCAGAGCGCCTACAAGTGAACACGAGTGAGATTTTTTCCCCCCTCTTTTTTCTTAAATGAAATACAACTAACTGCCAGTCCTCGCTACTGGACACTTTATATTGCTTCATGGCTCTCTGTACTTTGGTGTCTATGTCCTAAAGGTATATTTTTGTTAACAGTGGCGTGTTCGCTCTTTATACTAGAGTGGACATTCCACAAGAAACTTTGCACTTGCCTAATATTCAAACCCTGGTAATTAAACACTTGGGTGACGTTTTCTTTTTTTTTTTTTTTCAAGCAAACAATCAAGCTTATTTAACTCACCAAGATTGTAGAGAATACACGCCTGCTCATAGCAGATGTCATCATGGGTCACTGTTTTACCGGAGAAGATCTCAGTCCTACACACACACACACACACACACACACACACACACACACACACACACACACACACACACACACACACACACACACACACACACACACACATTTCACGTTGCTTTAACAATGAATGACTCAGCTGTTGTTGCGCTGGTTTACTGAAGCAGTCTGTTGTTGTCTCGGGCGGAAAGGAAAATAGAAAAAAAAAAACAACAATCATGTGACAACTTCGTGTGTGTGTGTGTGTTTGTGTGTGTGTGTGTGTGTGTGTGTGTGTGTGTGTGTGTGTGTGTACCATGAGATGGACACCGCTGCCTCCTGCCCTGTTGTCATGGGAATGCGACTCTGGAGGTAATGAAGCTGACCGAAGTACTTCCTCAACGTGCTGCAGCCCTCAAAGTCTCTGGTCACGTTCACGGCACTCTGACGAACACACACAAACACGTTTCGACAGGTCCTTCCAACCGTGGTCACGTGACCACGTCACGTGGCGACTTGGACCGACCTGCCGGAGCGTTTCCAGTTTCTTCAGCTGCTCGTTGTAGTTGTCAGGATTCTCATTGTAGTTCTTCAGGATGTACTAGAAGACACATAACAAATAATATCAGAGGCAATACAGTTCACCACACTAACACTTCACAGGACATTCTCATAATATCCATCTGACGGAGGACTCAAACCTGCACACACATCGCAAAAGGATTGTCGACGATGTCACAGAACGTTTGATTAATCAGCTGAAAATACAGCTTGCATTATTAAACAACCACACTAAGATAAATGGTGCAGGTATTTTGTCCTCTTAGGGTCGCCATCCTTCAGTTCTATATTGTACTGTGACTTTGAATGTGTATGGCTTTAAAAAGCAATGCCCAGCCTGGTGAGGGACGCGTGCATCAGTGACCTAGAGTGTAGTTTCGCTGTTGTGAGCTCAGTTTAGCCCGTCTGCAGTTTTCAGAGTACACAAGTGCTGCTTAGAAGTAGACACGGTGCACTTTATTATCTTCTTTGGACACGTTCTCTCTTTCACGGTCTTTTCCCTTGCACTCTAATATCAAAATCAAACCATCCTTCAGATGATATGATAATGATGGGCTTTCATGAATGAAGTGCACACCCCGACAGCCAACATTTGATGTAACAGTGTTTCACAACCTCTATTGCGCAAAGTCACATCACCAAACAAACAGATGTCAGCTAAAAGTAGACATAGAAATGAAGGGACATCGAGCGGGAGGGCATTTCATTGCTCTGCCTCTCACTAAATGTCGTTGGGATTGATTGATGACAGACGAATAACTTTGGGGGCCAATTAAATCAATTTGAACCATTTCTTGCTGCGCACTGATGAGCTCTGACGGCACAATGGTTGTACATCATTGACTTTGGTCAATTTTCAATTAGTTATGATGACGTGTTGATGCGTATCACGAAAACGAGGACGCGCTCAAAAGGTAAAGGGCTTTATCTAGAATAGGAAGAACAAAACAGATAAATGCTAAATGAATATTCAAGACTGTTTTTGTTTTTGACGTGAGTGACTTTTTGACATGGTCTAATAACCAAAATTCATATCGAACTTGTATTTTCATGCCCACTTGTTAGCTGTTGTCATGGCGTCGCGGCTTTGAGTCATGTGACGTTATCTAGGCCTGATTAGTCCCGGTCCACTTCTGTCAGCTTATTAGCCGTGTTAGCTTTTTCGTTTGCTGCCAGCTAACTCCACCAAAGGCTCCGTCGATCGCTGAGCTAAGACGACGCTAACCATAGCAAAGAAAAGACAGACTGATGCTAGCCGATCAGTTCGGCCTTCTTGTAACTTATGTTGATGTTTAGCCTGACGTGCTCCGGCGCTTGGCTCGGTTCCGGTCAAAGGTGTCTTGTTTACGGCCACTTTGGGGGCCAGTTGCTGTCCTCCCTCCCTTGCTCGGTCCGCGTCCCCGCCCAGCTCACCTGCCTGACGGCCGAGTTAAACTGGAAGTCTCCCGCTTCCTTCAGGTCGAGCCATATCATCGGCATGCGGGGGACCGCCTCCATCGCGGCGGCGGCTGCTGGCGGTGCCCTCAAGCCCGCGAGGATGTCACTTGGGGTCGGCTTGAGGTGGCGGAGGCAGGCGGCTCGCGAAGACGCACTCTGTTCTTTTCCCCAACAACTGTGTCATGGAGCCGTCCCCGCTTGAACCGGATATGCGTCGACGACGCGTCACGTAGAAAGCCAGAGAGCGTCGCCCCCTTGGGATTGTGGGAAATGTATTCTATATGTCAACTGGCGCTTTTCTCGTGTTCTGGACCTTGGGCCCACAGCTGGTGATATGAGGGGTGGAAAATTCATTTGCAAAGGGGTCACGTGAAAAATTGGAACGCTTGGCGAGTGCCAAGTCAACATGAAACCCTCAACTTAGTCTATATTATTTTTATTATTTGAGAAAAAGCATATTGTCTCGTTCTGAAATAATTGTGACGTGTGTCGTGATGTTTTGTCATCATTAGCAAATCGACATTTTTCCATGGGCCCCCTCATGACGAACTAACGCAAATTACGTCAACTACAAATTGTACTCTTAAAAGTCACGGGAATTAAAAGTTTGCCTATTTTTGGCCAAAATGAAAAAGTCATAATCTTCTTGCCTTAAAAAAAGAGAAATAAATTGAGGCGGAGGGCGGCTAAATTTTTCGAAAGTTATTTTTAAAATTCTGCATTTTTACAAGAAAAAATAAGTCATAATCTTTAATCGTATTAATCTGTACAAGATCAAAGTCATATTTTTTTGAACGTGTAGAACAAACCTGAATCATTCACTGTCCCTATCCAACCAAAATTGCACTTTGTTCATCTTTGCCAGCGACTTTTGGTGACAGCCAGAACAATTCAATGTCCTTTCACTTAGCTGGCAGAAGGTATATCATTGTCTGTCCATCCACTATTATGGCGTTTTTTTTATCATATGTGCTTTAGCTTAATAAAGGTTGGCAAGCTACATGAAAGTGCCCCACCTAACCATTGGGGGGCGCTGTGCGCTCGTTTAGACGTGAAGGCGACTCAGTGGCAGACACATCACCATGGCGACCACAGCTCGGGATGCTGATGCAGCCACAGGTGGGCACACACACACACACACACACACACACACACACACACACACACACACACACACACCGCCACACGCAGCCAAC